GTGATTGAACAGCACAACAGGGTCCCCAGAGACATTATGGAGTTTCCATCCTTGGAGATTTAACTTGAGTGAATAAATAAGATCTGGATAAATCTGCTGTAGCTGAGCTGAGGGGTTGGGTTAGATGATCTCCAGATGTCCTTTCCAACCTCAACTATTTGTGATTCTGTACATGTTCCAGTCCAACCTGCACCTGAGACGCCTCCTCCAAAACAGAGTTTGCCTTCTGCCTTTCACCTGTACCACTTGATGTTCCACTGCTGTACAAAGCTACTAAATATGTACCAGGTGAAAAGCAAAGAACAATCTGAAAAGCATCCTGCAAAAGAGAGAATGTGCCATTCCTTCAGCTTAAGGCTGGTCATTTATTAGTGAGAGACAGAGGACAGCCTTACATTTGCTCATGCAGACACAGACAGCTTATACAGCACAGGTGTTCACAAGCTACAAGAATTTGGTGGAGACCAACAATTCATTTTATACACGACAGACACCAGAGCTGAACAGCTCGATTTCTCACCACAGCCAATTCAGACTGCAGGTCTAGGGACTAAAGCAGACCCTGAAGAACCATGAACTGCCCGTCTGTTACTCGTTGCCTGCTATCAATAACAAAATGCCATCAGAGCTGACAGAAAAACCCTGCAGTGTTACAAACTGACCTGCAATTCCATTTCTCTTCTCCTCCTCCCATTTGTATGATATAATAGAATCCACTTCCCACTCAGCAGCAGGGTAATTAGATAATCAAAAAGCAAACAAATTTCACATGACAGACCTCAGGAGAAAACAGATATACATGGAAAAAACATTTTAGTTTACTTAGGGCCATTCTGGCAACAACAGGCTCAGAGGGATATAATTAGTACCCTGCAAGCCAGCATATGAAAAGGCTTAATTTAACTGAGATCAAACCTAAAGAATAGCTATAGAAATTAGAAGTGAAGGCACAAATCCACACAGGACTGCCACAGCTAAGAGTTTTTATGATCAAGAATTCTAAAGTCATAATTCTCATCTATTGCATTCTGATTTCTGCTTATCCAGAAGGAGAGGCATTATTTTGGACCACTCTGCAATAGCTGAAGTTAATCAAATCCATGGAGGTCAGTCTGTGGGGCTCTAGCAGTTCTCTGTACCACGTAGGAAGAAGCAGCCAATGCTTCTTCAACAGCAGTCTGCTGAATTGATGCCTCCCTCTTCAATATAACCTATATTCTTCTGCACATTAAAACTCTACAATTGTTTTGAAATGGGAAGAAAGTTCTTCTGTCATCTTCTTCTATCTCAAGTAAGTTTGTGGGGAAAAAAGCATTATAGCAGTCCTAATGGGATTGCTAGATTGATAACAGAGACTACTAATAGAGAAAGTAAAAATAGCCCTGCAATATTTACTCTGTTGTGACCAACGGCACATGCTGGAAAGCAGCTTCTTTTAACCCAACCCAACCTACAAAGGGAAACCCCACAGAGGAAGATTCAAGTGTCAAGAAAGAGCTGCTGGAGGTGGCAACACAGTCTGCACCTCGAGGGAAAGGGATCCTCCCACCACACTGACTGACCCCACGGACAGCCCTTCCCAGCGCTCTGGCTGACATGGAATCCAGCATGAAATTTGTGTGAAGTAAGGCTCCAGTACTTTTTTTTTATTAGATTTTGATCATTTGCATTGTACTGCAGGCAGGCAAAAAAAAATAAAATCCCAGACAGCAAGTTCTTCCAGCACATTTTGACTTTTCAAATACAAAGCAAAGGAAATGTTTCAAAAACATGACCCGTAAAGCTTTTGCTGCTCGCTGTTAAGATATGCTGTCATCAGGACAGCATTTTTTGGATGAAAAATGGTTATTGCTAAAGGTCACAGAGTTGTCTCCCTCAAACAAATTAAGAAATAAATGGCTGCTGACACTTCCAGATGATGATTCATCTGTCCGAGATCTCCAATAATGCAAAGCCACACAGCTGCCCCCCAGGTTTGCTGCAGACCACAGCAGCCACCAACTAACTCAGAAATCTGTCTTCACTCTCCTGTCACTTTGTTAGCCAACTTCTCAATCCTCTTTATAGACACACCAGAAATTCCTTATTCTCAAGCTAAAAACCAGATGAAAAACATATGAAAGTAACATCTGTTAGGAAAAACAGTTGTATGTGCAGTAGCCAGATTTCCACACTTACTATTTCTATTATTACCAAAGTCCTCTTTACTTCATGTGAAGCAAAGATTATCCATGTATGAGACACAGAGATGAAAGAGGCTGATGGATCAGCACCAACATCACCACCCACAGAAATCACCACCACAACAACAGAATAAGAGAGTGTATACAGCCTCCTTGCCAGGAAGGCCAAGTTGATGAAGGTTATTCTTTAAAGAGTTATTAAAGTGCTAAAGATCTGTTTAGACAACCCTCGAGTGAAAGGCCATCATAGGTACAGCAGAGATATCTGATGTTTTATCTTGTCAGAATAACCTCTCGATAAGAAAAACTAATAACAAATTTTTATTGAGTGATTATCCTTTCCATCTTTGGCTTTTCACTGGAGTTTATGGAGACTATTTACTGATCTCTTCGGGGAAGGAGATGACATTTACTGTTCAGACTATGCCCTCTGATCTCAAATGTGGCCTCTACTATCGCTACATCCAACAGTGATTCCATAATTTTAGAAGAAAGATGCTGTTACAAATTTGTAGGACTAGCATTTGAAACAGAAGCACAGCATTTCACTTTGCAGCAAATGCAGAGGACCAATCATTTATGATTTGAAAAGGAAAAAAAAAAAATCAAGAAATCTCTTCTCATTCTTTTTACTCACCAGTTTACGCTCACCAGTTCTGTGGCACAGCTGTGATGATCATCAGCTTGGACACAGGGATTTTATTATCTGCCCAATTTAATCATAAGAAACTGATAACCAGAGCAGTGACCTAACAGTCCAAATCCAAGAACGTGTCCTTTACAAACAGATAGTATGTGAAGTAAAAGTTTTCTTAGAACTTCTGCTCCTTCATGCATTTCAGTTTGATGCATTAAACTTTCAGTTCTCAGTTATTGGGCTGAAGCGTTTTTTTGGGGTTTTGTGTTTGTTTTGTTGTTTGGGTTTGGTTTTATTTAAATACATACAATGGATAAATCATAACCAGAAGTTTGTAACCATCAGCCTTTCGAGTCATGATCAGGTGTTTAGGACTTAACAGCCTTCTAAAGAGTAAGATCTATTTAAACCCAGTGAGGGGTGTGGAAGCCAACCCCAGCGTGGTTAAGTAAGAAAAATGCAGATACAGAACTGACAGCACTGAAGGAAAAATGTTTCATCCTAAACATTGTCCCAATGTGCATAAATCAACTGTGCTAACAGGAAAATACTGTTTAAAAAAAACAAACCAACTAAATAAAAAACAAACCCCAAACAACCAGAAAACCCACATCAGGTTTTTATTAGCACTCTCTTTGCCTAAGTGTCATTCTCTTCCCTTGACAATTTAGCTCAGTGTCCAGCACCAGCAGTCTTTTATATACACCTATAAACAGCTGCTGCATACAAATTGATCTCAGCTACTTCTTGCAACCTTTGTAGCAAAGCTGGGCAACCGACAGGGAAGAGCCTGTATCTTATGAGAGACAGGTGGAACAGCGAGAGCAAGCTGGACAAACAGCACAGGTACAGATTGATGAGCAGCAGGGGTGGGAGCCAGGAGGACTGGCTGGAAGGGCATATCTAGAAAACAAGGAAAACAGATCCACAGGAAACCAGATTTCATTACTTCTGCTTCTCTGAAAAGGACCCCATTTGTACAATTTAGCTGTGGTTACAGCATGAGCTTGTCTAATTTGCTTCTAGACTGAGTAGCAATAAAGAGACCTTGTTAGGAGGGTGGGTTTTTCTTCTCCCAGCTTAGCCTGAAAGAAATCCTCTAAAGAAATACCTATTTCATATAAAATTGATTTGTTCAAAGCAGCATGCCTTGCTTCCAAACTAATGAGAGAAGTACTTTGGAACAAACACTACAGCTTTGGGTAGTGCCTATTTGGAAGTCAGTAAAGGTCAGAACACTGAACACGCACAAGCTTGTTTCCAAGCTCGTTTAGCAGCTTCCTACATGTCAGATTTTTTGGAGATGTATCCTTTAGTATCTGTATAGAGAGCTCTTTTCCCTCAGCTGAGTAATACCAGTGGCTTGAACTCTGCAGCTCATAAAACTAAATAGTCTTAGTAACTTCACAGGAGAAAATAGAGTTGCTAGATCTGACCATAAGCCCTTAAAGTCACTGTACCCTTTTCAACACAAGAGAACAGCTACTTCAGAGGACTTGCCATGGGATCTCTCCAGCTCCACGATGTCTACACGATAGAGGCATTCACTATTCCTTCACCTGCCTCTTCCACCAAAGCAAGGGTGCAAACTACAAGACAAAGTGTAGCTTAATTTGCATCATGTAGCATTTAAACAGTTCAGAGAAAAAGATCTCTTGCCTTTCTGCTACAGCACAAGTGGATTCAGTGACCGCACGCACACATTGCTGCTGCAATGACAAGTGGTTGTTCCCTTTGTGGTGATGAGTTGTGCCAGCAACTCCAGGCCTTTGCATTTAGCACTTCATCCCAATCCAAAGTGACTACTCCAGGCAACACAGTACAAAATAAGGAGTGAAGTTTACGAAGAGGGGGGAATAGCTCACTTCTTTTCTTTTGTTATTCCAAGCATCATAGCATTAACCCCAGGGTTAAATGTAAGGGCTACACAGGCCCTTAGAATATTAAAACCAGCTTCCCTGTTTTTTTCACACCACCCTTCACATCATAGGACAGCTCATGTCAGCTACAGCTAAACCAGCACACCCTGAATATGGAACATGAGGTTTTTTTTTTTCTTTCAAATGTACTAGAGCAAGATTCACCTGAGTAAAAAACCTCAAGTCATTATACACATATTTTCAAGTTCATCGATCCCCCAGGCAGGGAAACATGGTGCTGTCACACAGAAACCATCATACCTCTGTCACTGAAGTCATCCACCAGCACTATCTCTGCTATCAGCTCAGGAGGGGAGCGGTTGAGGACACTGTGCACTGTCCGGAGCAGAGAGGACCATCCTTCGTTGTGGAACGGAATTATCACACTCGTGTTCGGAAGCTTCTCCAGGTACAGCTTATTTTTGCAGCTGGACACAGACAGAGCAAGTCAAAAGGAGCTGCCGAAAAACACCAGCACTTCCATGCTAATTACCATCAAGTAACTTAGTTCATTATTTACTCCCCAAACTGATGCAAAGTACCTGAAAAAAATCCAGCGACTTTCAGGACTTATCAAGCCAGTGTTGACCTGATCTAGTCTACCCGGCCATAATAAGACCCAGCAATTCCATGTGAAGTAGAGACTGTTAATGGTCAATGACACTTAGCAACACACAAAATCAGGGGGATCAGTTCTGCAGGCAGAAGTGAAGGCAGCTGGGCTTTGAACACAAATCACCAGAGGATTTGGATAAAGCTGGAGAGTTAGGTCTGCAGAGGTATGGACCCCTTGAATCTGGGGTATTTCCCCACAGCAATAATCTTAATTTTGAAGTAAGGGTAATGCTTTCTTGCCTTGTGAGGTTGTTTTCAAGGCAGTTTCATAAAGAAAATTCCAACTGCAGCACGAAGGGCAGTGTTTATTTCCTGCTCATGTGGCCCTAAGTGGAGTTTGAACTTTGTTAGTAACAAAGGCCACACAACGAGCAATTGTAGTTAAAAAAATACCCGTAGCTGTTCATTTGCGGTCAAAAATCTATTCCCTTCCTAGAACCTCATGTGTCCAGTACAAAACAGAGGTGGTTATGTGAATGGAGGTGTCTGGAGTGTAGTAATGATAGTGGCAGCAGGACCAGCTGCCCCCTGCCCAGGAGCAAGGGAGGGAGGTCACACTCTGCTCTCTGCCCCGCCACAAGACTGCACCTCTTGCACAGCCACCAGAGCTGATGTGCAGACCCTCAGTGAGGATGTGTGCCCAATTCAGTGCTTACACACAGTAATTCCCTCCCTGTTCCCCGGAAGGAATGAAAGCGGCTTTTTCCTGGTACCTTTCCCAGGGAAGGGAGAAGGATGCACGTATGTTATACAAGCTCAGTACATCTGTGGCTACAGGAAGTTACTCTGGTGCCTGTGTGAGAGGACAGTAGCTTATTCTGGGTGTAATGAATTGTCCTGGGGTGCTGCCAAGAGCTTGCAGGCTGTGGCTGCAACACACAGATGCAAGATGCAAACTGAAGCTGCATGGACTGCTTTCATCCAGCCCTTGGCATTGCCATCCTAACCTTCTTCCGATGGCTACTGGCTGTAATTCTGTTCCAATATGAACCAAGAGCCCTTGAATCTTTTCTAACTCTTCTTAAAATGGAACTCTCATTTTCTGACTAACTTTAACAAGCGGGAAACTTTTAGCTATTAAGTTTAACCATTAAGCATGGAGAGAAATTGCTTCCCTCCAGCTACCACATCTACAATTGCTTTACAAGACCTGCAAAATTAGTATTTAATATTAAAAAACCCAGAAGCACTTAAAGAAAATGTTATCAGGGGAAGACATGACTGCTGAAACAAACAATTGTATGTGTGCACCAGGCAGATCCAGTACACGTCATCCTCCAGCTCCTCGGTTCCCACAATTAACAGAAAGCAGAGGTGACACACTGTTTGCTATATAAAAGTCCACACAAACCATCTCACGCATCAGCTGCTTCTTTGTCCTTCCCCACCCAGGCCAGCTGTTGGGGAGAATACCATCTGTGGCCCCAAAGCTTAGGACAAGACAGATGATGCATTTTTCCCCAGATCACCTTCTCCTTACGCTCCCTGCTGCCTGCAGGCACATCTCCAAACTCTCTATTACCTCACTGTAAAAGGCTCTAAAAACACAGCTCCCTTCTTTCTGGAATACTCTTTAAGGACTTGTGTCTTTATGACTAGGTCTCAGCCTAACTTTGTTATAAATTGCCCTCATCAACCTCCCAGGTAACACAAACCACACCATTTCAAGTATATCTTTTTTAATGGGCACAGCGAATGCACAGCAGACCTTTCCAGTCACGAATTCCTTTACTGCACATCTCCCCTGTACATAACCCTGCTCCCTGCCCAGCTAATCCCAGCATCCATTAGGCACATGCTGTTTATCCTCTCCTCGAGGCCTCCACAATTACAACCTGCTACACTGATATGTCAAGCAACAAGCAAACTACTGCAGCAGCATCATTAATCACAGCTTAAGTAGACATTTCACTTCGTAATTTTAACTGGGTCTGAAGTTAGAAGCTTCACACTTTAAAAAAGTTTAAATAGCAGAATTAGCAACACTGAGTTGGCAATTTCAGGAAACAATGGGGAATGTGAGGTAATATATTAAATCCTCAGATAGCAAAATACTGGCATTGTCTGACATTTAAGTTCTCAGAGCCCAAGGCAGACCCTGTAAATGGAGGCTGGGCAGAATTTAGGTTAGTGAAGTCAAACTCTATTTCCCAGAACTTGAGTATGGGTTGATCCACAAACATTTTCAGTTACCTGATTTATCTTTATGTCTAAACATTTCAGCTGCATGCCTAAAATATTTATGGAGCTACACTCACTACTTTGTTTTATGTGTATATATTGAGAAAGGGTGTCAAGCCAGTTAGCTTGCTGTGACTGCTGAAGAGGTAATATCTCAATTGTGCAGTTAAATTATAAAACCCGACTTCTGGAAATTATGTGAATAAAGTAGATGTTGAATTCAGATTTACTAATTGTGATAAAACCAGCTTTACACAAAACGAGCTTAGATTCAAATGCCTAACAATGCTTTCAGATTAAGAACTCCACACAGCATTTAAAAACCTCTCTGCTTTGTCTAAATGACAGCTAAGTCGTAACTGAAGCACTTTTGCTAATGAAAAAACTCCTTCTAGTTTGCACAAAATCCAGTTTAACACCATCCGAAGGGATAATGTCCAAAACCAGACAAACTCGAAAGTCAGCATTCAATTGGAACGAGCTTCTACTTGTAAATCCTGATGAGGCTGTTTTTATGAGGAAGATGTCCAAGAAAATAATCCACAAATCTGATAAAACTCTTCATACACAGCTGAGTGGAGCTGCTCCTGTCTTGTTCTGCTCCTGAGCACTTCATGATCATCTCCCACTAACGGCCAACATAAGAAGGGGACAGTGTTTAGTGACAAAGTCATCATCTGACTGCACTTAGGGCACCTGTCAACCGAGTCAGACACTGACATCAGTTTCACTACAGAAAGAAAAAGTTCCACCTTATTAGTTGCTAAGAGCTGTCAGCTCTCTCAGGGGGCTCAGGAACTGAACTGTTGTGTTCCAAGAGGTGAAGGAAGTAGCCTCCCTCTGGGTTAAGTTCAAGATCTCTTCTACACAGGGCTGGAAGTCTTTGGTAATTTTAAGTCTTTTGGAATCAAAAGGGGATTTCCTCCCCCCCAGATTTGGTCTCCCCTATTTCCTGTTGCAATTACTATACACTGTTCTTTATTAAGGAGACAGTAGGACCCAGCAGTCGATGAACAAAGGTATAGGAGTCTGTAATAAAAAAGAACACACTCCTGTAGATGTGTTAATTTAGGGCTTGAAAACTTTTACTCGTAGAAATCCAAACTGTATACTCACTTTGGGTGTCTGATGTCTGGAAGGGAACGATTCAGAGAAATTTTATCACTCACAAAGATATTAAAGCCATTTTCCCTGTATGCCTGGTCCACTCGCTCTGCATCAGTCATTGGGTAAGGTTTTCCCTGTTCTCCATTTCCTATGGATAGACAGAAAGTAAATACACATCATTACTACTAATTAGTGCTTAACTGGCCAGAAACTAATCCATATAGCAAAAAAAAGAGCATCTTACAGTCCTTTAAAAATTCCTTCCTTGGTTTTGTGCTCTGTGTCATATTTAGCACCGGGTCAACTATGTCAATCTATCAATTATCTGATAAGTAGTTTTGCTACAAACCACTCAGCTGTGCAAATCACAGAAGTTAAGCGTTCCTTCTAACACCAGAAACCGACAAAGGACTTATGGCAACGCTGTGGAGGATCTATAGAACACCTTTTGTTTCACAGCAGAAGAATCCATATGGTTTGAATACCTCAGCACTGTTGGAATTTCCAGCACAGATGGATATGTGTATTTAGAACCTGAGCTCCTGCACTGAGGGGCAGAGCCCTTGCAGACACACCAGTGTAAACCTGTGATGTTCAATATGGGCCCTTATTTTATGAAATAAAACTTGCATGAATGTTATAAGTGCAGAACATTTGTCTTATCCCTCTTCTTCTTTTCTGGATCTCCCATTTTTGGAAGAAGAACACGCCTATTTGTTTTTCTGTAAGTTTAAAAAAAATCAACACTGCAGCTGTCATAAAACACCAAGATGTTTACTGATACATTTTCACCTCCAAATGGTTATTGTGGAGTTGAGGGAGAAGGAATTTAATTGGGATTAACACAGTTAAAGATTAACTGGCTTTAACTGCTGCTGCATCATGTCAAGAACATCATCTTGACCCTGAAGTTGAACATGTTTTACACTCAGCCTACCAAATAAAATCAAATTACAATCAGTATTAAAACATTTTTATAGCAATCTTACATACCTACACGCTCAGAGTCCCTCCTTATAGCTTCGTTGTTATGCCAGTCCTTTTTTCTTTGTCCATCAGCAAAGTAAGCATCTTTCTTTTGCCTCGCGTATGATGCCTTTTAAATAAAAGATTGGATATATTAAATACACAACACATGCAACCTTTCCTTAACAGCCTCCCCTTCCTGTAAGAAGAGATAAAACATCTTCCTTAGGGTAAATTCATCCCAAGCAAGTGGCTTGTAGCCTGAAAGGAGGAGGAAGCAAGTTTTGCTTGTCTCAGAACAGTACTTTATCTATAGCTGTTAAGTGATAATTTTCAGGGCACCATCATGTATGCAGAACAGTATTTCTTAATCAGGGAATCTATTAAAAACTCCCATTTTCATTTTGAAAACATCCAATACATCTTACAGCTTTTTTGTTAATTAAATAGGATGTAATGGGAGACCTATTGCAGGATCATTATTAATGAGCACACTACCACACTTGAATAAAATCAAAATAAGACTTAAAAGGTCATTTAGTAAGACTCTTGCTGCTGAACTTAAAAGCAAATTCTACACAAGGCATGAGCCTGAAGTGAATCCAATTAGAGCTCCTATTTCATGATGTTGTCCCTAAAATTCAAAAGCAATGGGTGCTTTGGAAACAAGTCGGCAAATGAAGGTCATCACGAGCAATCCAACATCTCCAGCTCACCTCTGACTGCATAGGCTGAAGACTCACATTTACTGAAGGAAAGAGGTTTCATGAGAGGCACTGCAAAAGCCTCACTGATTCCCATGACGCAGTAGAAGGCAAGTGCAGCCCCAGAGCAGCAGAGCAGGGTGAAGAACCACACAATTCTGTTACGGAAGGGCTCACCTGAACTCGCCAAACATAAGCAGAAAACTGAACTGCTTAACCTGCCTTGTGGTTTTCCAGCTGTCCCATTACACATCACTGCTCTCCTGTGATTTCTACCTGCTGATAATGCAAAAGTACTTTCAAGTGTCAAGATGAATGTGTGATCCAGGAACCAGACGGGCAAGAGAGCACCGGGAGGGCAAACTGAACACAGTGGGCAACAGCACTTCTGGGGAAACACAGATCATGCTTCTCGTCCTTGAGGCTGGTGTCAGCAATGCCATCACAGAACACCTTGAAAAACATACACCACCCAAAAACAATGTTTGCTCCACCTCAGGAGGTTACTGCTGCTTTTGTGTAGTGGGTGTGAGCAGAGGCGGTTTGAGATGCTCCCTCAGGGCGTGATGAGCCAGGGCACAGTGTGGGCGAGGACCAGGCAAACCCATCAGCATCTACCCATGGCTCCACCTGACCTAACCACCTCATGGATAATTTGCACAAGCTCTACCTGGACCTTTGCTAGCTCGTGCCAGCTACTGTGAGCAGGTCTGGATGACAGCTGTGTGACAAAGAAACAGTGGCAGCCTGGTTATTTTTGGTGTAAAATTTTCAGCACCATGACGCAGCCGCCCTGCGCTACTGCAACAGTCCAGCACACCTACTCGTCTGGCCACCACAGCGGTTTCTAATTGTTTGGACAACATGTCACCCCTTCTAATCATCCCCACTAAATAACTGACAGAGCACACTGCTGTTCTGGGAAGTATTTACCTCTGTTTTGCAAGGCATCCTTTGCCAGGCCTGCTCTCTGGCCAGTCTCCTCTCCAGGATACTCCCCTGCCAGGAAAAGCCCTGGAAAGCTTTCATAGACCAGAGCACCTCCTTGCCAGGAGAGTTTTGCCAACTTTCTGAGCACTAGGCTTGCGCACGAGTGTCATACTGGGCACAGGAACAACTGGCACGTCTGAAACCTCAATATTTTAAGTCTTTTTTCTCTCTTGTTTATAGCAGTCTGGACTGAATGTGCATACCCGGAGAATCGCTTACAATGCCACTGTCCTTTCTGAGATTCAACACATGAAAATCCCTTACCAGCAGTTACTCCAGAAACCCCACCCACCACTGCAGAGGAGACCACTGCCAGAGTGTCCAGGGACTAGATCCAAAAGGAGGAATACACAGTGTGACCCTGAGCCTCACAACACAAGTTTGAAATACACCCCAAGGACTCACACCAATTTCTAAGTGAAGCCACACCACTGGGCTATCAGCTGCTTCAGGAGGGGCCTCTCTCACCATTACACAGCTGTACCACCAAAGCAAACAATGCTCATCTGGTCAAGCAGCATCCTAAAAGCCATTAAAAAGCAGTTCCAGCCATCCCTGCTCAGTGTGAGCACCCCCAGGCTCTGGGCTGGAGTGATCCTTGTGTTTGTGCTCTCAATGTAGGATAATGTGAACAGGGAAGTAAATTTTCTGCCCAGCTTCGAGCCATTCTTCAGAGAGGTCAGCAGTGTGCATGTAAACATCCTCAGAGCAAGCAACGACCTAATGCAAGCAATTTAAACCCTGCAATACTGAGTGAAAGCAGGCAGTAGCACGCCATCCTCCAGGGCTGTTAAAATAAAGAGGAAAAAAAACAGGAAAAAATCCCAGAGACTGCCACTGTATTACACACAGTACAAACCAGGCAGAAAGACAGCAGAAAGTCGAGTAGGTAGATGCATTACTTCTCTCAGGGATAAATTTACACATGAAAACATCTTTGAGCTGGGTTAAGCTAACCATGTGAAGGCCACACATGTCAGCAATTTGTAAACTTTAAATTAAGCAAGAAGGAAAACTACGAAGTACACACATCAGTTATTCAGACCTTTCTGAACTGCAGCGTTGGACTTCAGAAGCACACAGAATAAGAGTTATCGATCCTTACGTCCTGGGGAACAGGCTCTGTACAGCTCTCAGTCTTGGAGACTTACAAGAAATAACCCCTCCACATGTTGGTATCGGCAAAGTAAAATGAGGACTGTGCAGGGTGAATCACTATCTGTTCCTCTGCCTGCAGAGCTCATGATGTTACTGCCCTGCACAGCTAACACCTAAAGAGATTCACACAAGAAAAACACACCAGGAACCTCTGTCGGATCGACACACCTCTCCAAGCAGCTTTTAGGATCCTGAAGGTTAGACATAGCTGCAGATGGTAATGGCAGATGTGCTGCATTCTGGAGCTTTTTTTTTGGTCTTGGGCAGAGAAGCTACGTTAGCCAATCCAACTCACACATCCTCCATTAAATTTAATTCAACTTGGGTAAATGTTAAGAGGTTAGAATATTTCTAACAGTATCCCTTGCAAGCAAACATACGATGCTTACATTGGTTTTTCAGGTCGCTATTAAAACACCATAACTGAAAAGTCTGCTGAGTCACTGACAAGTTCTGTCAACAGTGTCTAAATATTAATTTTGAAGTGACTTTCAGTGCTAGAAAATGAATATCAATGTCTTTGCTTCAGCGACCTTGCCAGCCCTCACGATCCACACAGCCCCAAAGGGAAGGTGTAGCTGCAGCAGCCTGATTAGCATTGTATTTCTTAAGAACCACACTTTGAACACCAACCTAATTTCAACAGACTACCAAAAAAAAGTCAGTGTGAATGATAAAACACTGCCTCCCCTCCCCAAGTGCAGATTTTATGCTCATGTCATCACTACTGGCAGAACAGTGTGAAGGGTTGTGGGCACGATGCCATCATGGGCAGAGGGAAGTTGTGCACATATGTCCTCAAAGTCCCTCTCTCTGGGAGAATGGGCAGGTTGCTGACATTGATGCAGTTCTGGAAGCTCTTTTTTTCCTTTCTTTCCTTTTGTTTTTTTTCCTTCTCGTTTTTGTAAAAGATGTCTGAGCTCTAGAAACACAGACACAGCATACAGGGACCAGAATGTTGCTTTTTTTAGTGGTTTCCTTCAGGGATGCTGCATGGAATTTGACTCAATTATGCAAATTACATAACTTGATGATACTCCTTCAACAGACGCTCTAGACTGTGATATCCAAGCAATCTGCAAAACACAGCAAGTTTCCTAGGACTGAGTTTTGCTTTAACTATTAAACAAACATCTCATTTATGGGGAGCCATACCATACGTATAACGCTGTTTTTCATCTCAATTTTCACTCTTATCCTAATTTTCCATTAATTCTAACTGCATGACAGGAGGCATAACATTTTTGTTCAAACCCACCAGCACATCTGCCCTTATCTGCATTTTAACTGTGGAGTGCAGCAACCACTGTTTGACCATTGCAGCTCTCCATGCTGCATGGTTAGGGTAAAGTGACATTATGGATCTGAACTGTCCCTATAAAAGAGGTCAGCAATTTTCTGTTTTGCTCTACGTTAGCTACCCATTTTGCAAAAATATCATTGTTTTCTTAAATGGTCAATTGTAAGCAACATGCAAAAAGCACATTTCAAATCATGCAGGCTTCATTATGATCATCTAGTCAGACTATGTAAGTGCACAAGCCATTGAATTCCATCTATTAACTCCTACAACAAGCCCATAAGTTCTATTTCAGCTCAAGCACATTTTCTTTTCCTTAAGAACTGGATGTTGTTTACCACTAAGGAGTGATTACTTCTGCAGCAATATCTTAAACTGTTCTCCTGCCTGTTTCAAGCCTTCATTTTTTAAAAACTGAAAATGAACTAAAGTAGAAAGGCATATTAAGCAATACATTGAAAATGGATTTAGACAGATTGCTGTAAATAAGCCCCTTCTGTTGTCTACCACGCTGTTACTTAACACACCGCCAAAGCAATTGATCAGCATTCAAATGCCAAATGCACAAAAATGGAATTTTAATTTTTTGTTTAATCACTATTTAGTGTGCCTGGCTCCAGCCAAAAAAAAAAAGAAGTGTGGATGGAGATGTAAGCCAAGAGTTTTCTACACATGAGGAAAAAAGACTTGCTGAAGCACATACGCAAATCATGATGCTGTACAGATCTCAAACCCTGTTCAAACACTTGTTTTGCTGATTTATTATTTTCTTTTGAAACAAGGAGCTGTGATCAGACCCAAGAAGCTATGATTTCTGGAGACAGTGTTAAAGGGAGCATCTGTTCCATCCCAGGCCTCTTCATTTATCCCAGCACCTCAGCAAGTCTCTCTTGCACTTATATCCTACAACAAGATGTTGAAGATAACAAAACAATTAAAGAAAAACGGCAGGGAAAGGGAGAGCAAATAGAAACCATT